TCTTGTTTGGTAATTAATTTAAGGGTAAAATTAGAAGTTTAAAGGGTAAATTCAAGTATTAGATTTGTATCTTCCAAAAATAACTAAATGAAATATTCGTTCTATTCTAGTTGTAAACCACCTGAGTCAACTCGAGGCTCGAGCTTGGCTCGGTTCGTTAACTTAACGAGTTTATGATCAAGCTTAAGTTTATAGTTTAATGAGCCAAAATCGAACTTTAACTAGACAAATTATAAAATATTATATTAAAAAAATTATTTTTTCGAGCCTTAACAAGTCGAGTTGTTACTAAACGAACTTTAAATGATCTCGAGCTTCGGACTCGAATCTTGACAAGTCGAGCTCACGAGCAGCTCATTTTATTTAACAGCTATAATTCTAACATGCCATAGTTGTGCACTTTATGGAAAACATCATACTTACATTGCTTTTAAAATGTATGGATTTTTAAACTTAGGTTTTTCTTTTATAAGTCATGTAAAGTTTAGATTTACACTAATATAAATATGAACAAAATACCCAATTCATATAACATTTATAGGAACTAAAAAATGTTCAATTTGCTTTGTGTTTGACTTATTAATGATTAGACAATCGCATTCTTTCAATATATATATACAAATTTTGATACTCAAATGCAAAATTGTGCTAATCGACACCAAGGTAACCCTTCTCAGACACTCGAACAATTAGACGCCATCTAGGGCAGGGCTGGTGAACTGGTTGCAAACTTAGTCACGTCTAGACTGATTAGTCGACACAAGTGACTCCTAGCGCCCGTATTGATTTCTCGTACATTTTTTCCCCAAATTATAATGAAAATAAATTTTTGTTTTTATACATGAAATCTTCAATAATTATGACATTAGATCCATAAATTGTCTCAAATTAATATGATAATTATATATAGTTAACTTTTTTGAAAATCTTTGAATTTAACTATATTAATTTGTGTATATTCTAATAAAATATATTTTGACGTTTTGATATATATAAATAAATTTACTAATATTATTATAACTCTGCTTAGGGCCTTAGACCATATTTAATATCTATCAAGGCTAGGGGTGAGCATACCGCACCACACTGAAAAAAACCGAAAATCGAATTTATAAAATTTTTTCACCGAACTGCACCGCAATAGAAGGAAAAACCGAAAATTTTCGGTGCGGTTCGATTTTTCGATTAACCGAAATTTAAAAAGATAACCACCAATTAATGTTATGTAAGTAAAATTGTAAAAATTAAGGTGATATTTAATTAAAAAAATATAAAAAAGTGACATTTTATGACATTCGGTGCGGTTCGGTTAAAATCGCACCCTTCGGAAAAAAACCGAACCGCACCGAAATACTTGCGGTTTTTCAATACACAAACCGCACCGATAACCGAATTTACAAAAAACCGCACTGAATAGCTCATTTCGGTGCAGTTTTTTTTAGTTTTAGCTCGATTTTGCTCACCCCTAATCAAGGCATTATAGGCACTGGGCCTCAACGTGCTAACTGCTTTCATAACCTTTCTCAAAATATCATACATTAAATTATTATAATATAACAAAAAATATGCCATTTTACAGTATAGATATGCACTTTTTTGCATGAACTTACGACTGACTAACAGTTAGACAGACTATTATCAAAGCTTGTTGAAAATATTAGATGACAATATATTCTTGTCTCTTTTGGCAATCACATTCAATCTCAAGGATAGTTCCTACTATTAAGCCAAAAGAAAATCCAACCAAAAAAACATAGACAAACAGAACACACACATGGTTATCACTTGTAGAGTTGTGCTTCACATTTTTTTCCCTCAAAAAAAAGAAAACACTTAGCCATTACATGTAAACACACACACTCGCCGTCTTCATCGTCTTGCAGACGGGACAAACATCGACAAACCCTTCACAGTCGACACAAAGACACAAATGCCGGCAGGGCAATACCAAAACCGAGACCCCTTTCTTACCACAAACCCGGCATATGTGCCCTTTATAGCTCCTCATCATTTGGTCCGAGCATGATCCTGCGTCGTCAACCTCACTGGAGTCCCCCGAGCCCTCGCGCGCTCTGTTCGTGTTTTGTTCCATGAGCTGCTGAATGTTGCTCTTGAGCGTGTTCACCACCGACTCGTTGTACCTTGCCTTGTGGTGCCACGACTGAGCTTCCATGGATGCTTGCTTTATCTTCTCCCCGAGCTCTTTGTTCTTTCGGTTGAGGCTCTCGATTTGGAGGTCCTTCTCGAGCAGTTTGCGGTTGACTCCTTTCTCGAGCGCGGTTAAGAGAGAGGCCGTGTGGCGTTGGTTTATGTCTCGCACGCCTTTCAAGATGCTCTGTTCCTGTGTTGTATATATAGGGGTTAGGGTTTAGAAGTTATAGGTAAAGGGCATTTGGAAGTTGGAACATAGATAACGTAGAGGCAAGTAAAATTTCGAGTGTCTTTTTGGTAGTGAATTCGAGTGTGTCTTTTAGTTTTAGCAATTGCTGAGTTCATTTGTCTGACTTTCCCTTTCATGAGTATGGTGCATCTCTCAGTGTCGAGATCATTTATCGGAACCATGATATCAATTTTTCAACCAGTTATGCGACAAGGGTCTGAGTCTTTTTCGACAAAATAGCCTTTCTCGGTGTAAAAATCATTTATCGGAACCAAGAAATCAATTTTCGACAAGGTATGCCACAAGGGTCTTGAGTATTTTTCGACAAAATAGCCTTTTTCGGTGTAGAAATCATTCAACCAGAACCAAGAAATCAATTTTTCAACAACTTATGCGAAAAGGGTCTTGAGTAGTCTTTTTCGACAAAATAGCCTTTCTGGATGAAGAAATCATTTAATCGGAACCAAGAAATCATTTTTCACTCAGTTATGCGACAGGGGTCTTGAGTTTTTTCCGACGAAATAGACGATAAACATCTTTCTGAATGGTCAATTTGCCACAATAACACCACTTGCAGATATTAACCTCTATTAAGTTTTAACCAAACTGCAAAAAAAAAATATATATATATATATATAATATATATATATCTAGCTTGTATTATCTAAAAATTAATACCACTTAAATAGAAGATATCTGCAATTTTCTAAAAACTAAATGCAACATTTATCGAATTCTTCAGTTTGTCGATTAATACCTGAAGTTTAAAATATCGGTCGAATTCTTCAGTTTGTCGATCAATCTCCATTTTCACGGTGCTACCAAGAGAGAGCATAACCGGAATATTGGTATTGCCTTTCATATTCTCACACGCAGAGGAAATGGACGAATTACGCTCTTCGTCCTCGCAAGAAAGTTTGAGACCAGTGGACACATAATTGTTAGGAATATTTACGAAGTTCCCCTTAAGGCCAACTTCGTTTGGACACGTGCTGTTGTTTAATGATATCTGAAGCTTGTGCTGCATAGATGAACTTTCGCCTTCTCGAACTTTGTTATCAATATTCGACACTTTTCTGCTTCCCATATAGTTTACTGTGCCAACACCGGGCCCATACTGAACTGGAACTGCAAAAATTCAAATGACAAATAGATTGTGTTAAAAAAAAAAAGGTTAAAATAAGAACCGGAAAATAAAAAAGGATAGTCACCAAAAAAATATGTTATTCGTGTAAATAACCGAAAAGGGAAGCTGATATAGAGTTAGAACAGCAAGAAACCGAGATGAAAAGCACGGTTAGAATAAAATGCAAGATAAATAGGTAAAAACAGAGTGGCTTATGAGAAGTATGCACAATATGTTTTTTGTAATTCATCCAAATTTCTCTTCCTGAATAGTTATAACGGCATTACATTTATTAATCCAGACCAATCCAGCAAAAATGGAAATCAAACATGATCAGATAGAGTACAAAGATGTAAAATGCGACGAGCTAAGCTATCAAATCACCCCATACCAATATCTCAACATATTTCACATGTGAAAACAGCTCTTAATTAGCAGAAAACACGTGTCAACAGAGAGAGTGTTACATGAAAGCCCAAAAAAAATGATCAAAATATCTAATAGGTGCATTATAGGTTAAAATTTGTGTCTTGATCAGTAGCATAATGGACACAGAAGTGCGTATACACTATCGTTCAGCGAAAAGATTAGACTTTGCGAGACAGTACCAGAAGGACATCAATAATACAGCATTAAGATTTATATAACAAAAGAAAAGGGCAAAACAAACTCAAAGGTCATATAATCACATACATTTCTACCGAGATCTGTAAAGTATACTCACCATGTCCAAATAACTGCAGTTGGGGCACGGAATTGTTATCATACTGTGAACGATTTTCCTCCACAAAACCCGGGATTACAGTGTTACCATTCTTTCCTCCTCCTAGCATCTTCCTATAAAGCATACTCTAGACAATTATGTTTTTTCAACCAATTTACAATATGTAAAATATCCAGACTCTAACTAATAAAAGAACTTGTAGAAGCAAAACAATCCAACCAATTCACAATATGCAAATATTATAAGTATTAACAATCTAAACTAAAAGATGTGATTTTTCTTAACAGGACAACATACTTCAGAGGAAATACCTGGTTTTAGTTCAACAAATGCCCAAACTAATCTAAACTAATGCTAGCAGCATTTTCAGATTCAATTCCACCAATCTGTGATTCAATTGAACTCTACTTTCATCACTAACTGACTTCACTCATCATTCATCATTAAAAAAAGTAAACATAGCCTGCAAATTTGTTACCAAACTCAAGAACTCAAAAAGGACACATCACAGAGGAACAAGAAAAAAGAAGATCAACCCTCAACCATAAACCAACCAAGAAGAAAGAATCACAAGACTCACACAAATCACACACACACACACACACACACACACACACACACAAAAGCAAACAACAAGAAGAAAGAAAAGAAAAAACTCACCAAAACCCAGATGGGATTTTTCAGATACCCAATTCTTGAATGGATTAAGACCCAAAAAAAAAAAAATCAAAACCCCCCCAAAAAATCTGGTTTTTTCTTCTTTTTTTTTTTCTCAAAACTGCCCTCTTTGCATCAGGTGAAAAAACAAGAAAGGGCCAAGCTAGCCAACAGCAATCATGAAAGAGAGAGAGGGATAAAGATTAAAAAAGGGTTGGAATAAGAACAATAATGGTCGTCATGATGGATTGGAGGTGGTGGTGGAGTAGAAGAAGTAGTAGCTGTTTATTGTTGTTTCTTGGTGAGAGAAAACCAAGAAAAGGGGATTCCATTTTTTTTTTATTTTTTTTTTTTCTTCTTCGGTTTTGGTGATTGTTTTTGTTTTGTAATTTACAAGTTGGGTGGGAGTGAATTAAGAAGATGACCAGTCGTTGTTTTGAAGATATCTTTTTTTTTTTTTTCTTCTTTTTTCCTCTGCTTTTGCCCATCTCCATATTTTAGGCAAAACTCTTGTTTGGCTTTCGTCTTCTCTTTCTCTCTCTCTTCATCTTTTTCCCTTCTTGCTTTCTTGGGCTCATTCATTTTTCACTGTGATTTTTGTCTGCCTTGTACGGTATTTGTTCTTATTTTTATTTTTTTGTGACCCCCCTACCAGTGGGGTTTCATATCTTTTTTACTTTTTCTCTTGGTTTTGGGTTTACATTTAATTTTTATCACAACTTTTTTCGATGCAGTTGTGAACAAGACGAGGCAAGCTCGAGCTTGAGCTCGAGCTCTTGATATTTGAATTTGGGCTTGAACTTTATAGAACTCACTTAACTTGTTAGCTAATTGAAATCGGCTAGTTTGTCATACGAGTTTAGTTGAACTCGTGAGAGGATCGATACATTTAACAATTCTAATAAAACATTGTTATTTTGGCTTGATGATTTTTTTTTTTTTTTTTAACTAGTTGTATTTTTTAGTATATGTTATCATAGTTTCTTATAACTCTTTGTATCATTATATTTTTTTTGGTACAATTTGTATAATTATTTTAGTTTAATACTTAAGATATATGTCATTTTCAATACAAGATATACAATTTCAATTTGTTAGATGGTGGCAATAAATTTATGGCTAGATGAAATCTTGGGACACAAATAGTGCTCTATTGCTATCCATATTCCACAAAGCTTGCAACTAATTGAATAATTGACAAAATGTGGTTCCTAATGAGAACCCACTTTAGAGTTTGGATGTTGCTAGGAATTAATTAGTGTTTTTCCTACTTATATTTTAAAAGTTTCAAACTTTCATTTATTAACCTCACCATATATGTACCAAGTTTTTACCCACAACCTTTGCTTGTCAAAAAAGTTGTTTGAAATTCAAGTTTCATTTAACATATGCCATTAATGTGTAAGCTTTTTTATTTCCATAGAAAAAGGCACATAGTGAAAATCCATTTTATAGGTGACATTTTGTTATGCACAAATTCATGTAAGATAAAATAACCGTTAGACAAGTCTAGCTCGTCATGTTTTTTTTTTAAAAAAAATAATATGCATACTTATACTATCAACTATTACACTTTTATTTGTATATATTTTTTTTTAAATATAACGTTTTTAATAAATGAAAAACAGTATGTTGGTCTGATCGTTAGACCAATCTAACAGAACACGTTTCGTGTATTGTGAAATCTGTACCGATCTAAAGTAGGGCTCTGCCCCATAGACAGGTAAAAGACTGAGTATGAAGTGAATTCTATTAAATGATGGCTTCTATCTAGGAGATACTCATAAATTGCATCCAATTTCTTATTTACAATTTTATTACTACAAAAGTTTTAAAATTTGCAAAGTTGGTGAAGTTAAATGGCTTCTCTTTTCTATTTTATAAAACTTCAAACTGTCACAAACATGATTTCAAAAAAAAAAATACAAATATTTTGTTGTATGTTATGCTAATTGTTAATTACATAGAATATGATATGACTGATAGATGCAGGCTCACATGACTGCTAATTGTGATTATTCAAAAAGGAGGGTATAGTATACATAATATATGATGAATGATTATATGCATTAATATTCCCGAACTTATTACAACTTAGCTCGAGTTCAGCCAAACTCGCTTGATTCGAAATCTTTCACGATTCGTTTAGTTAATAAGTCAAGTTTGTCTAGTCACGTTAAAGTTTGGTGAGGTTGATAAATACGAGCTTTTAAGTATTTTTCGACTCGAACTCTTTTATCTGCTCGTTAACTCTCGTTTACATTTCGAAATACTATCATTAATTACAGAGTAAACATTGGGCTTACAATTGACCTATGGACTATGAATCCATGGAAATTGAAAAAAGATAAAAATTATATAGTTTAAAAATGAAAAAAAAAAATAGAAAAAAACAAAGAATCAGAGCACGAGGAGTTGGAGGGGATTATGATTTATCAGGCACGTGACACACGTGAGCTTTAAAGACTTAAACCCCACTCTTATTGGGTTGGATCTCCCGCAAGCCCACGTGCCTACCCAATCTTGATATGCAGTGGGCAACACAATTAGGCCTCAACTATTGATTGAGAGAGTGATTAGATCCAATTAAACTATTTTATTTTCAATTATTTTTTATTTTTTTATTAATTGACAATTATATAGCCCCATAACGTCTTGAAAGTCACTCAATAGACACCTCGGATGGTGAGTTAATAGCTCGGTTTGTGCATTTTGAGAACGAAAGAAGTTTAGATCGATCTACACGAGTTTGTTTATATATGACGAAATTTACATCAGTTAAGAGTTACGGTTCTCAGATGATCTGGTCATGTCCGATCTGATGTAGCACTTGGAGGGCGACAATTTGAAGCACAATACAAATAACCAATACGGATATGATATAAAATCACCGGTGTTTGAATTCGAACATATCGAGCAGGTATTGTTGTGCGATTGCTAGGGCATATATTTTTAAATACGTTTAGTGATTTATAATTGTGAATTGCTATGTTTAAATACAAAATTATAAATAAAAAATTAGTAGCAAATGAGTTTATGGAAATACTTGAGCCGCAAAAAACATAATCGCGATTACAATTATGATAAATTTCGGAGCTCGCAAAAAAAAAAAATGAGAGGTTGAGGTTTTAATTTAGTCCCCAAAATTAAAGGCCTTGTTAGCTAGCCCTATCCATGGGGCTTGTTTGTAGAGATTTTCTCATAACCCAATCAAAAGGTCCAACTCAATTGTAACAAATATTGATGGGCTTACACGGATTGTTATTCATATGTTGTTGTTAATCGATTTTTTTTTTCTTTTTTCAAATAATATTAATAGATAAAAAAAAATACAATCGAGATGTCAACTGACATTATACGGACCAGTACAAAGCTTGAACCTAAACCATTTTGAGATTATATAGACAACCAAGAGGAACAACGTACTAATAAAACACCCCATAAGGGGAGACAAAAAAACCCAAAAACTAGAAACTACTAAGACATGACATGAACCGATATTACCAAAAACACATAACAAAAAAAGAGAAAAATATATAAAAATACATATATCTACAAACAAAATTAGGATACAATCTGCCCCACTTATAGAGGTCCTCTTGCAGCTGCTACTCTGTCTTAATTATGTACATAAATTCCTAGATCCAAAGATGAAATATGATCAACAAATCTAGATCTTTCAAACTTGTAAACTCCGATCAAACTCGAAAGGCTATGCAAATCTGGCATGCAAAAGAAATTCATGCTCATATGTGAGCTCCCAAAAGTCCTAGATTAGGGAGAGACTATAAGCCAAAAAGGCCTTGAGTCTCGCCGGCGAAAGTCTCCATCACCAGCATTAAACTTGGCTGGAAAGAGGGGTAACCCATTGTGACCAAACTTATGTCCAAAGCAAGCAAGAGGCGAAAGAAGAACTCCGTCATGTTAGCCCAGCCATGGCCGGAAGAGTAGCTCCCCATGGAAGGTTGCTGAAAATAAGGATGATGAGAATTGGAATTTTAATTGTTTTCGTTATGGTAAGAGAAAATTTCAGAGAGAGATTTTTTTTTTTTTCAAAATTCTTTTAAAAAATGTTATTGTTGCAAACAACTTAACCATTACAAAATTTTATAATTTACAGAAAAAAAAACATTTATACTATAAATATGGTACTTTTATTTATATTATATTATAAACTATTATATTTTTATATTTGTGTATATATGTATATTGAAATAGTATAACAACTTAGCATTAAGTCCACAAAACAACTACCAAACATAATTTGCCAAAAAGTTTATCTTTTTTAATGGTAAAATTAAGTTTCATATTTAAAGTGTTCCCCATATGTAAATTTTTATTGGGTAAATAATTTTCTTTTTATAGTATATTTTCATTTATGCTAATTGATATATATCCATTAGACTATAATTTTTAACTCATGATCACTTGACCAATTTTCATTAATTTAATTCTCGATTTTGCTATGAAACCAACAGTTGACTTCATAGTAGAGTCAACCTTCTATATATAAAAGTTTATTTGTTATATATAGAAGATTGGTTCCACTCTAAATCAACCGTTAAACCCGTTTAATTCCTACTTATTTATACACATATTTATAGCAATTATCCAAAAATAGTAACTTTATTCAACGTACGTGTCAATTTTCCCTCCTCTAAAAACAGCAAGAATCACTCTTCCCTTCTTCACTTCATCTCCTCCACCTCTCTCTCAAATGGCTCCAAGCCACTGAAACAAATCGAAAATATCAACGCTCAGAGTGAAATCCCTTCACTGCCCTCGAACCCCAGCTCAATCTTACACACATCCATGGCCCCATTACGTAATTTTATCCCGCCCCTTTTCCTGTTAGCCTCCATTGTTCAAAGGGCCCGCATAGCTTGAATTGAAAGTGAAAAACCAGAAGAAAAGCTTGAAACTTTAGGTAAACAAAACGCACAAGCGAACCCATTTGTGCGAAATGCATTATATGAATTCGAAAATGGTTACTGGATGCAAAGCGCTGTCGTTTCCGGGTCGGGTCGACAGAAGCCCGAAGGTTTACAGTTTTAGAGTTAATCGGGTTGTCGCTTGCGGTCTGTCTGGGTCGGGCTCGGGTTCGGGGCACGGCCCTGCTCAAGGCCCGAGCCAAAGTTCGCATCTTTCTCGAACCGAAGCGTATGCTTTGCTCAAGCAGCAGCTGGAAGTCGCTGCAAAATCTGAGGTGTTGTTTTTGGTTTGCTCATTTTTTGTGGATTGTGATATCTTTTGTTCATGTGACTGTTATATGAGTTTTTGATTTGCGTCAATTATATGGTTAAGTGGGCTTATTGTGAATTTCTTCATTGTGGTCTTATGCTTGGCTGTTGATTAAAGTTAGCATTATGGCTGATTTAAGTTTGCTTGATTTGAGAGATTCATTTTTCATGTTATGATGACTGGGTTAGGATTATAAGGAAGCTGCTCGACTGCGAGATTCATTGAAGCTATTCGAGGAGGAGGAGCCGGTTTTGCGTCTGCAGAGGTTGTTGAAAGAGGCCATTGCACAAGAGAGATTCGAGGCATGCCTTTGAATTATTAGACTGTTTAAGAGATTAAATTAAAGCTATACCTTTGAATTATATCAATTTATGTCAACATACTTTTGTTCATGTGTACATGAATGTAACTCTAGGATGCGGCTAGGTACAGAGACGAGTTGAAGGAAATCGCGCCACATTTTCTTTTGAAGTGCTCGAGTGATGCTACTACCTTGGTATAATTTCACATTTTAGTTTTTGGGCTATCTGAATTTCGCAATCTGATTATATGATATTTAAAACTTGAGTTTGTGATACTTTCTTGTGGCCAAACATTATTTGACTATTGATTATTCCATTATGTGTTTCTATTATAGCATATAAACCTTGTTAATATCCATTATTGCAGGGTATTAGAGTTCAAGTTAGGAGTGTGTACATTGAAGGTAGAAGTCAGCCTTCAAAAGGCCTCTACTTTTTCGCATATAGGATCAGAATCACGAACAATTCCGATCGGCCCGTACAGCTTCTAAGAAGGCATTGGATCATAACCGATGGCAATGGCAAAACCGAAAGCGTGCAGTATGTTCTCATTTTCTTTTACTTTTTAGCTTTCTTCATAGTTTCTTACTGTAGCTTACATCTCTCTCTCTCTCTCTCTCTCTCTCTCTCTCTCTCTCTCTCTCTTTTCTTACTTGACTGAGTTTTGTGTTATTTAATC